ATAATAAAATATATAAAAATTGTAAAAAAAAAAAAAAAAAAAAAAACCCAGGGGGGGAAAAATTTCCCCAGAGCCTTGCTTAAAAGACCCTCAAATTTCTCCTTTTAAGGGGGAAATAATAAAATAATTTTGACATTAAAAAAAAATAATAACAAAAATAAAAAAAAATAAGAAAAAAACAAGAATCTCTTCTACATTGGGCCAGCTTCGAATTGTGCTGCCAACTTAATTCTTCACCCCTCTCCCTTTTCCTGCAGACTGACCAACACAACCTGCACACAGCTCCATGGTCAGGAAGGTGAAGAATTGGGAAGAATTGGGATTTCCCCCTCCCTCCACTTCCCAATTCTTCACCTTTCCATGTGAGCTCTCAAGAGCATCAACTCCTTGCCTCTATGGTAACCCTCACTCCTTCCTCGGAAACCTCGCCTCTTAAAGGAGCCATCTAGAAGGCTGAAACAGCTGCGAGATCAATGTGCAGACAAGCACCTCGGAAAAAGCCTTTTGTCAAAAGGTGGAAATTTAACAACTTTTAAATACGAGGCGTGAGGTAAAATAGAACAGGCTTTATTAACAGGCAACAACTACAACGGAGTTAAGAACACGGACAAAGCGAAGCCCGCCTGACAGCTATTTATATTTGACAGCTGTCAGGCGGTTGGCCAATTGGTGGCCAATATTTTTCCCACCGGCCGACATGCGCGCCTGAGCCAATCAGGGGCCTGAGGCTCTGGCCCCTCCTGCTGCCTGCGTCAGGAGGACGCAACACCCCTTGCCCCCAGACAGCGCATGCGTAGTCCTCGAGATAAGCCGGTCTTCTGCGCACGTGCTGCAAACGCTGGAGATAGGGAGTGTCCATCGTCGTCAGAGGAGGAGGTCTGCTGCTGTGACACATCAGACTGGAAGGCCCGCCCCCCGAGCCAGCGGGAAAGTTTGAGGGTAGGAGTCCTTCTCTTGCTGCGGGTAGTGGCTGACGGTGGCGCGGAGCGGGGAATGTGGCTGGAGATGGTTGAGCCACGGCTGGTCATGGCTGGGTAGGATGGGCGGCCGCTGGGCAAGCAGGCCCCGGCTGTGGTGGTTGTGCGGGCGCTGTGGATGATGGAAGCGGTTCCTCAGTTGTTCGGCGGTGCAGCTGGTTCAGATGGCGCCGCCATAGTCGTCCATTGCCAAGCAGGATCCAGTTAGCTCTACAATGACCCCCGGTAGCCACTTTGGGTCTCTGGCATAGTTCTGCGCGAAGACCCCCTCACCCACCAGAAAAGACCTAGGGGGTGCAGGTAGGGGGCTAGCAGTGGGGGCGAAGGAGCGGTGCAACCAGTCAAGGGTGGTCCTCAGGCGGCGACCCATGAGGATCTCCACAGGACTTTTGCCAGTGGACTGGCAGGAGGTGGAGTGCTGGGCCAAGAGGTATGACCGGAGGCCATGGCAGGTGGGAGAGCCGTGCCAGGCCTTCCTTGGCCAATCGGACGGAGCAC